AAGCCGCGGGAGAGGCGCTTCGCCTACTCTGCACGTCTGCTTGTGCGTACACCTGGCTCCTCTCCGCTGTGCTGTAGGTGTAATATCTGTAACCGCACAACTATGCTTCACCTGCGGATGCCGCGGTGCGCGCCGGCCCCGAGTGGGAGCGAGAGCGGGAGCGGGAGAGGGGTGTCCCTGGCTGCGGGACTCGCCCGTCGCCGGCACCGACCCAGCTTAAACAGCCGGACATGCCGCGCCGCGCTTCAGGGCGCCGGGAGTTATCTGGGGGCTTGGGAAAAGCGACTGATAGGGAAGTGGCTTATTTCTCCCATACAATGCGAATTAGCATAAACAAAAAGGAGGTCTGTATTTCTTAGCATAAGGGTCTGCAAAACTTAGCATTGGCTCTAAACCGAGTTTCCACTTGGCCGTCTAAGCAAGCGCTCACGCACGCTTCCCCTGCATAGGGACACACCGTCCGCCTCCGAGGTCTCGACGCTTGGCTCCCCGGAGCGTGTTGATTTTGTAGGTGAACGAGGAACGCTAACGAATAAGAAAAAATATTCATGGGGATGCGTTTTCTCCCCCGACCTTCCTGTTCAATATCTGGGGAAAAGACGAACACACTCGTCGACGGACAACACTGCTCTCCAAATGTGAGGCGATTTCTCCTTACAGGAACCTGCCCACCTCAAAAATAAATGTATTTCTTCAAATGAAGGGAGGAATAGGAAGAAAAAGCCTGGGAAATAATGTAATCCTGTGTCTCTGGCTTGTACAGAGGCTGTTCTTGCTTGCAGTCGCATTTCTCATCAGTATCTACGGGAGTTTTGCCGAGATACTATTGATGCCGGAGCCCAGAAACGTACGTGTATATACAAATAAGTAGGCGAAAAGAAAGAAAGAACAAAAACGAATCCAAGTAAAAACTAAGTTCAGTGATTATTTAGAAAGGGTTTCTAAGTGTCCTTCCCCTAAAAGCGCTGATGGGGGTGGATTTTTGTTTTTGTTTATGTTTTTAAGGAGCTCGCAATTTAAAGCGTTTTCCCCCTTCAGCCCGCGCCTGGGAAGGGGTAACTCTCCCCGCTGAGAAGTGACCAGCCACCGAGGGGGTGCTGATTCTCCTC